TTTACTGTGATACATGATGTAGTACAAATCGAAGAATAAGGCGGGTAACTTCTCATATACATATTATTTTACCCCCTATGATTGTGGAAAATGAAGATTTTCGATCTTCCAATCATTTATAGTCTCAATATGATAGTCATTTATTGTAGTAAACTTCAGGTTTACTACAACATATGTTTTGACCATAATCATATAATATGAATGACATATTTGTATATAAGGTCTTCGAGAGCCTTCATTTATTATCCAGAATCTAATATTTATCGGACACTACTGGTGTCATGTGTCTTCTAGGCAAACAGTTAGCTCTTCAGGAGTTGTTGATACATTTTGTACTATCAAATATTGCTCAGACACTTCTGGTATCATAAGAGAAAATCACAATCAAATAAATAATATAAAACAATTGTTTAAGCACAAGAAAACTCCTCTTCATAATATTTTCCTACTTCAGGAGGCAATTTCAATTGTGTTACTTCTTCAGGAGCAAATTTAAAATACGAAATATTGAGTATATATTCTCTCAATTATACTACCTCTTCTGGAGGTGAATTGTAATATATTTACATCAAGAGCGCGTTCATATTTACGAGATTTATTAATATTATCACATTCACTTCAGGGAATGGATTAATATTATCAAAAGTTCTCATCCTTCAGGAAATCGAACATAATTATCTAAACGCGCATTAATCACATCAAATTGTGATGCTTCAACCTCTTGTAAAATATTTACTACTTCAGGAGCAAATCGAGGCGTGCATTTAATATAGAGAATATTTATGTAGCTTATCTTCAATTGTAACCATAGAAAGCCTAAATTATCACTTCTGGTGATCATAGTCATATACCACTTCTGGTGGTTAACTTAGTTACAATGAGATATACGAAATATAACCACTTCTGGTGGTTGTATATTTCTTGCAAACTCTGCTGGAGTTTAAGTTGATCTACTAATGTTATCCATATTTTTCAAAATGACATAAATAAAATATATATAGTAAACATCATTATCAAAGCATAACTTTTATGTGTTAACCATACTATCTATTACAAACAATAAAAATTAAAATATATACATTTCTACAGATTCACCACCGATCACATGACTTGTTTCTCCTTCTGGGAGTGCAAAGTAATCAGCTACATCCAAATGCATGAAGTCTAAATTATCTCCAGAAATAAAATTTGCTTCAGCATTTTTCTCTGTCTTCTTCAGGGAGGCTTGATAAAGCTCAACCAGGTGCTTTGGCATACGGCAGGTACGTGACCAGTGCCCTTTTCCTCCACATCTATAGCATGCACTTTCTGCATTTGGTGCTTGCACCGCTTCATGCTTTTGTTCCTTCCTTTTCCACTGCTGGTGGTGAGGAGGGTTCTTTGGTGCATTATTATTACCATGATTGGGATTTCTTCCCCGACCACGGCCATGACCACGACTGGGGCCACGACCTCTTCCACATTTAGCTTGGTGGAAGTTCGTCTCATTCACTTCAGGGAATGGACAAGAACCAGTAGGCCGACTTTCATGGTTTTTCATTAATAGCCCATTATGTTGCTCGACTATAAGAAGATGTGATATAAGTTCAGAATACTTTTTAAATCCCATCTCTCGATATTGCTGCTGCAGGAGCATATTCGAGGCATGGAAAGTGGTGAAAGTTTTCTCCAACATATCATGATCAGTAATATTATCACCACATAATTCCAACTGGGAAATAATTCTGAACATAGCAGAATTATACTCACTGATAGATTTAAAATCTTGTAGCCTTAGATGTGTCCAATCATATCGTGCCTGTGGAAGAACGACCATCTTCAGGTGGTCATATCTATCTTTCAAATTATTCCACAGTATGACTGGATCTTTAATAGTAAGATATTCCATTTTCAGGCCCTCGTCAAGGTGATGGCGTAGGAATATCATTGCTTTGGCACGCTCTTGGTTTGATGCCTGATTTTTATCCTTGATGGTGTCTGCCAGACCCATCGCATCAAGATGAATTTCAGCATCAAGCACCCAAGACATGTAGCTTTTGCCCGATATATCCAGGGCTACAAATTCAAGTTTAGAAAGATTTGACATTATATAGAAAAAGAAAGTTCGTACCTTAGATACTTTCAAAGTATTTGCTCGAGATGGCAGAGTCTCGTGCTGATAACGTGTTATAAAATAAAGACTGTAAACTTAAAGACAAGTATAGAGAGAAACTGATATATTATTCGAATTCAAACTGATGTACATAATGAACTGAAAACTCTTCTATTTATAGAAGAAAGGAAGCTGTTGTGTAAGCTGCTACTGCAAGCTGTTGTGTAAGCTGCTACTGCAAGCTGCTGTGTAAACTGCTATAAGCTGCTGTGTAAGCTGCTACTACAAGCTGGTGTGTAAGCTATTACAAGCTGGTGTGTAAGCTGCTACTATACCAGATATGGATAATCTTATACTAAGAGTAATGTTTATCCATAACGGAGTACTGAAAGGATAAGCTCATTATACCCGGTATGGATAATCTTCTACCGGGGATAGTGTTTATCGATAACCGAGTATCGAAAGGATAAGCTTATTATACCCGGTATGGATAATCTTCTACCGGAAGTAATATTTATCCACAACCGGGTACCGAAGTGATAAGCTTCTTCAGGAGGCTTATTTCCAATAGAGTACTAAATAGATAAACATATTTACGGCGGAGCCCCATATGGATAAACTTCTTCAGGAAGCTTATTTCCAACGGAGTATGAACATCCATAATATAATATATTTATAACATTTTTATAGAAATGGGCATATATATAGCCTCACACCACATGCACGAAGTGATTACAAACACCAAACAAATGTTGAACAACAAAGCAATAAAAATATAGTGGATAATTAAACATACAGCCATGCATATATAGTTCGAAATTAATTCGATCAAGTTACATACATGGTTATTACACCAGACAATAAGGGGTCGTTTGGTAGGAGCAGCAAAATGCTCTACGGCCCTCTCTAGCTCCTTTGGGTTGGCTCCAACAATCCATTCACTGCTTGCCCTTCTCTAATAAAGAGAAAAGTTGGCATTCCATTCACTTCCCATTCGTTGGCAACCTCCAGCAAGAAAGATACCGGTTTACTATTTTTTTTTTTTTTGGTTTCCCAGCCGATACCCACTTTGGAGCCCGACTATATCCGGATTCGTGTCGCGTAGGGCTCCATTCGGGGGGGAAGCGCTGCGTACCAAGAATTTTTCTATACCTTCGAACCAGAGACCTCTGATTAAGGGAAGAACAGCCTCATCCGCTGCACCACATCCTTTGACGGTGATATCGCTTTACTATCAATCACTAACTATTTAAGTTTAATACATTCAAACTTATAATTCTTAATTAATTACTTCTAAACCCACACTCATTCGAAATTATGAGTACAACATTTAAATCTATATATTGACTGTGTGCTACATAAGCCTCTGCTAACCACCCTAGTTAAAGTGACAATTATGATTAATTAAACTAATACTATAAAATTTGAATAAAGATGTACCTGCAGTGTATCAATGTTAACCTTGAGGAATATAGCTTGGGGCGTCTTCTCAGCAAGGTTAGCAAAAACTTGGTCCATATAATGGCAAGGACCGCACCAGCTAGCTGTAAAATCCACCACCACCTGAACGAATAAAAGAGTTGTATTTTACATTTTACATAAATTTAAAAAGAAAAAGAAAAGAAATATTAACGCCAAATTAAACAACTTTAAAAAATCTTAGGCATATCCATCATTCTGTACTAATTCTAGTTGGTCTAGCAGCTAGGGACTCATGATATGCATATACCTAGGGTTCTTACTTGTATATATACATAGAGTCGAGCTTTAATAATTAAAAGAAAAGGGATAATTGCACTTTTGATCCCTCCATTATTGGTAAATCTTGATTTTGGTCCTGGTGACATTTCGGTGAGCATACCTCTAATTAACTCAAAGATGTGATTTTGGTCCATTTGTATAGGAAATATGTTATACGATTAGAACTATATTAATACCATCAAATATACGAGTAATAAATTACGTCAAATGGAAACCCAAATATACCCACCAATACCAAGTACCTAATTAGGTAATTCAAAGTAAAAATTAAAAGCAAAATAACAGCTGTCAAAAATAGTCAAAATGTAATACTCTACTAGTTGGAACCATACCAGTTTTTTAGGACCCATTTGGCCATAGATTTTGCCAAAATAAAGTTGAGTTCTATTTGGCAAACGCATGTTGGGCCATAGATTTTGCCTACATTTTGGCAAAATCCCAAATCCCAAATCCCAAAACCAGCTCAATAGCTGGTTTTGGGCCAAAATATTAATATTATATTTTTTTTAAAATTGTCTCAAACTTTTGTATTTTATAAAAGAGCCCACCATTTATTATTTTATAATAATGTTTCTTCGTCTTCTTGGTCATCTAATAGTGTATCATGCAGTTCATTATAAAAATAATAATTTTGTGCCAAATTTATTTATGTTTAGGACTATGGTTTGTGATAATATAATAAATGTTATTGATAATGGTACTGTTGGGTATTTGTGATAGTTTTTAGAACTTGTGTATATAAGTCAAGTTTCATGTTTCTCCAAAATAAATTTGGGAAATATGTTTTGAAAACTGATGTCCAAACACATTTTCATCTTCAAACCAAACTTCACCCAAATCAGAATTTTTAAAACAAATTTGAAAATCTATGGCCAACGCTAGCTTAGATTCCACACCTTTCTGGAATAGCTAGTTCCACTCCTCCATGGTGTGGACGTCGATCACTACTCCATTCTCAGATGATGAAGTTGCCATTATCACGTTGAGTAAACAAAAGAAAAAGAAAAAAAGAGTAGCCATATTTCTCACCATTTTGCTCGAAGTAGAGTATCCAAAAATAGATATGGTTGTATACGGTTAAAATCAGGTTTGCCCGAGTTTGCCATTAAATCGAGATCAGTGAATAACGTCGAGGGTTAGTCCCGTAATGGATCAGGCCAGAGCACGAAGACAAGGTATCAAGTTCGAGAATCTAAGTGCCCGTCGAGATCGAGGCCATCAGCAATCGAGACCTAATATGATCGACTTCGAGTGAAGCGCAATAACGAAAAGGCGGAATATCCGTAATCGATCGGAGATAACGGTGGAAATCTCGGAACAGATCAAATCAAGGGCGATTGTTTAGGCTAATCATGGGATTTACTTCCGTAATTAGAATTGTACCATAACTAGGACTCCTCTGCTATATAAAGAGGGACCTAATCATTTTGTAACCAACTTACATTCATATAGATCAAGGCAATATAATATTTCTCTCTTTCTCTGGTTTATCAACTTGTTGTTCTTTAATTGTTTTTACTTTACTAAACTCGAGGGCACTGTCCAAGCATTGGTTTGTTTTACATTCATGTCAATTCCCATCACTTATCTTTAAGTTAATCAATTGGTATTAGGTGAAATCACGTATCCTTAAAACCACATTATAAGTTTAATTGTTATCCAATTTTTAGGGTAAACAGTTTGGCGCCCACCGTGGGGCTAAGGATAATAGTGATTGCCTAGTATTAATCCTCATAACACACACTGCTTTTACACTTGTTCTCGTAAGTGTCTTTGATTTCAAGAATCAACATGTCAAACTCTCAAGTGGTGCCCACTCACACAGACACCGACCTTAGTCTTCATGGCGAGAACGAGCACATATGTCGCCCCGGGAAATGGAATACCTCCAATCAATCCCGACGGACCGCAAACCGTAGATCCAATCGATGTCAATTCTCATGTTGCGATTCATGGAAATTTAGGCGCCGACCCTGAAAATAGTGTCCGCAGAGACACCCGTGCAGCCGATCAGAATGCATAGAGTGGTGGAGAAGACGGAATTAGCCTTCGAATGATATTTGAAATGTTACAAACTCAGCAGGCTGTGATAGCGCAACTCCAAAATCAAGATCGGGCACCAAGCAGAATCGAACTCGATACATCACAGGAAGTTGTTCATAGGCTCGAACCTGTACATGAGAAATTGAATAATAATGGATCGGGAACTGACCCCTCCATCACGAAGATGCTCGAGGAGCTCACTAAACGGATTGAATCGGGAGAAAAGAAAATTGAGGCTAATAATAAAAAGGTAGAAACATAAAACTCACGAGTTGACCAAATACCGGGGGCACCCCCGATCCTAAAGGGTTTGGATTCGAAGAAGTTCGTGCAGAAGCCATTTCCTCAAAGTGCGGCTCCGAAGCCCATTGCTAAGAAGTTCCATATGTTGGACACCCCAAGTACAACGGGACCACCGATCCTAATGAACACATCACTTCGTACACATGCAAAATAAAGGGAAATGACTTAGAAGATGATGAGATTGAATCCGTTCTGTTGAAAAAATTTGGAGAAACTTTATGAAGGGGGCAATGATATGGTACCAGAATTTGCCGCCCAATTCCATCGGTTCTTTTGCCATGCTCGCCGATTCATTCGTAAAGGCACACACCAGAGCAATAAAGGTTGCGACCAGGAAGTCAGACCTCTTCAATGTGAGACAAAAGGACAATGAAATGCTGAGGGAATTCGTATCTCGATTTCAGATGGAACACATGGACCTACCCCCGATTACCGATGATTGGGCTGTTCAAGCCTTTACTCAGGGTTTGAACGAGCGAAGTTTGGTAGCATCACGTCAACTAAAGCAGAATTTGATTGAACATCCAGCAGTACCTGGGCCGATGTGCATAATCGATATCAGTCAAAGATCAGAGTCGAGGATGATCAGTTGGGAGCCCCGTCCGATTTCGTTTACCCAAATAGATCCGAAGGCAGGATTCAAAGAGACATCGACAGAGAGCCATGATCGAACAGAGATCGGTACCAACCATATAGCGCAAATCGTAGAAACAACGGCCAGGACGTAATCCCGTTTGAAATGATCGGAGGAATGATCGAGGTCAAAATTCCCGAGGGCTCATGAGTGAGAGTGGCTTCGATAAACATATCGAGCCTAAATAAGCACCACGGTTATCGAAATACAACTTTAGTGTCGATGCTTCAGGTATTGTGTCAACCATTGGACGAATCAAGGATACTAGGTGGCCCATACCCCTACAGACTGACCCAGCTCAAAGGAATCCAAATCAAATGTGCAAGTACCATGTAACCCATGGTCACAGAATCGAAGACTGCAGACAGTTAAGGGAGGAGGTAGCTCGTTTATTCAACGAGGGTCACCTCGAGGATTCTTGAGTGACCGAGCTAAAAATCACTTCAAAGACAGGGACGCAAACAGGAAGAACCGCATCATGTGATTCATATGATCATCGGTGGGGTCGATGTTCCTCAAGGCCCGATTTTCAAACGCACCAAAGTGACAATCACAAGGGAGAAACGTACTCGGGATTACTTACCGGAGGATACCTTATCTTTCAACGATGAGGATGTAGAAGGAATCGAACAGCCTCACAACAACGCACCGGTAATATCTATCCTTATGAATAAAATTCAAGTTAAACGTGTGTTGGTTGATCCAGGTAGCTTGGCAGACATTATTCGGTCGAGGGTCGTAGAGCAGCTCGGCCTTCAGGATCAAATTGTGCTTGCAGCTCGAGTGCTCAACGGTTTCAACATGGCAAGTGAAACCACCAAAGGGGAAATTATGTTGCCAGTAAACGTGGCCAGAAGTATCCAGGAAATGAAGTTTCATGTAATTGAAGGTGATATGAGATACAACGCGCTGCTTGGGAGACCTTGGATCCCTAATATGAGGGCAGTACCTTCAACGCTTCACCAAGTCTTAAAATTCCCAACACCGGAAGGAATCAAAACGGTGTACGGCGAGCAACCCGCAGCCAAAGAAATGTTTGCTATTGATGAAGTAATACCGGTATCGACACTATCATCAACGAAGGGACACGAATCGAAGGGAAAGTAGGAAGTCAAATAGCAACCACAGTCGCCGACCTTGACCAGATCAGAGTAACAGGAAAATTTCGAGGATGATGATTGTATGATACCTCAAACCTTCGTAATCCCTGATGATTCCGATGCCACAAAGTCAACGGTTGAAGAGGTAGAGCAAGTCATACTGATCGAGAACCTGCCCGACCTAAAGGTATACCTGGGCACGGGGTTAACCCCCTAGCTCAGGGAAAAACTCATTAAATTCCTTATTAAAAATATGGATTGTTTTGCTTGGTCCCACATTGACATGACAGGGATCCCACCGGAGATTACCACTCATCGATTGAGCTTGGACCCAAAGTTTAGGCCGATAAAGCAAAAGAGAAGGCCACAGTCTGAGGTTAAGCATGAATTCATCAAATATGAGATAACCAAACTTCTCAAAATAGGGTCCATTTGGGAAGTAAAATATCCCGAATGGCTGGCAAACGTAGTCGTAGTCCCTAAAAAGGGGAATAAACTCAGAATGTGCGTAGACTATAAAGACTTAAACAAAGCATGCCCTAAAGATTCTTTTCCTTTGCCAAATATCGATTGTATGATCGATGCTATGGCCGGCCTCGAGACCCTCAGCTTTCTCGATGCCTACTCCGGGTACAATCAAATACAAATGAACCTGGAGGATCAGGAAAAGACTTCGTTCATTACTAAGTACGATACTTATTTCTATAATGTAATGCCATTTGGGCTAAAAAATGCTGGTGCTACTTATCAACTCCTAGTAAACCGAATGTTCGAAGAACAAATAGGTAAATCGATAGAGGTTTATATTGATGACATGCTAGTTAAGTCCCTGTGCGCAGAGGATCATTAGACACATTTGCAGGAAACGTTCAACATATTGAGAAAATACAACATGAAGCTCAACCCGAGAAATGAGCGTTCAGGGTCGGTTCAGGCAAGTTCCTCGGCTTTATGGTGTCAAATCGGGGAATCGAGATCAACCCCGATAAAATCAAGGAAGTCGAAGACATCACAGTCATGGATAGCGTTAAGGCCGTACAAAGATTAACAGGGCGGATAGCCGCTTTAGGCCAGTTCATCTCGAGGTCTTCGGATCGAAGTCATAGGTTCTTCTCACTGCTTATAAAGAAGAACAATTTCACTTAGACCCTGGAATGCCAACAGGCTTTGGAAGAGTTAAAACGATATCTTTTGAGCCCCCCGTTGCTTCATACTCCGAAGGCGGACGAATAACTCTACTTATATTTGGCAGTCTCGGAAGTTGCAGCAAATGGTGTCCTAGTTCGAGAAGAGCAAGGTACACAATATCCTGTCTATTATGTTAGTAAGTCTTTAGGAAAGGTCGAAACCCGGTACCCGCACTTAGAAAAATTAGCGCTTGCCCTAATAAGTGCCTCTAGGAAATTAAAACCTTATTTTCAATGTCACCCTATTTGTGTTGTAACCACCTACCCCCTTCGCAACATTTTGCACAAGCCCGAACTCTCGGGTTGACTGGCCAAATGGGCCGTTGAGATTAGCGGGTACAATATTGAGTATCAACCCCGAACAACCATCAAGCCTCAAATCTTGGAAGACCTCGTGGCCTACTTCATGCCAGCCCTCGTACCCATGGTCGAAAAGGAACTATTGCTAAATTCGGGTACATCCTCGGGGGTGTGGATCTTTTTCACAGATGGTGCTTCAAATGTGAAGGGGTCCGAGCTAGGCATCATTTTGAATCCACCCACAGGCAGTACAATTAGACAGTCTATCAAAACATCGAAATTAACTAATAATGAGGCCGTGTATGAGGCCATGATTGCAGGTCTCGAGCTAGCTAAGAGCTTGGGAGCAGAGGTCATCAAGGCCAAGTTCGACTCCCAACTTGTGGTAAATCAGGTCAACAGAACTTTCGAGGTTCGAGAAGATCGGATGCAGAGGTACTTAGACAAATTACAAGTGTCTCTACATCGATTTACAGAATAGACGCTACAGCACGTCCCTCGGGAAGAAAATAGCGAGGCCGATGCCCTTGCAAACTTGGGGTCATCGATTGAAGATGATGAACTTAGCTCGGGGACTGTCGTACAACTTTCAAGGTCAGGGATCGAGGAAGGGCACACCGAGATAAACTCCATAAGTTTGACCTGGGATTGGAGGAACAAGTACATCGAATAATTGAAGAACGAGAAGCTTACATTGGATTCTAAGGAATCGAGGACTCTGCGAACAAAGGTTGCACACTTCACATTGGCCGAAGATGGAACGTTATTAAGAAGGATGTTCGATGGACCGTTGGCAAAATGTTTCGGACCAGGAGACACCGATTACGTTCTACGAGAAATCCACGAGGGCACTTGCGGGAACCATTCCGGTGCCGAGTCGTTGGTTTACAAAGTAACCAGAGCAGGATACTATCGGATCGATATGGAGAAAGATACTAAAGAATTTGTTTGAAAATGTGACAAATGCCAAAGGCATGCGCCGATGATCCACCAACACAGAGAGCAACTTCATTCAGTCATATCCCCGTGGCTATTCATGAAATGGGGGATGGACATCGTTGGTTATCTGCCATTGGCCCCAGGTAAAGCTAAATTCATTTTATTTATGATTGACTATTTCTCTAAGTGGGTTGAAGCACAGGCTTTCGAGAAAGTCAGAGAAAAAGAAGTAATAGACTTCATCTGGGATCACATCATATGTCGATTCGGAATACCCGCCGAGACAGCATGTGATAATGGAAGGCAATTTATTGGCAGCAAAATAACGAAGTTCCTCGAAGATCACAAAATAAAAAAGGATATTATCGACGCCGTATCATCCTAGTGGGAATGGACAGGACGAATCAACAAACAAGACCATCATCCAGAACCTAAAGAAAAGGTTGAACGACGTTAAGGGAAAATGGAGAGAAATTTTGCCCGAAGTCCTTTAGGCATATCGAACAACGTCAAAATATAGTATGAGGGCAACACCGTTCTCCTTAGTATATTGTGCCGAAGCTCTGATCCCGGTCGAGGTCGGGGGACCTAGTTTCGAGTTTCGATATACAACGGAAGAGTCGAATCACGAGGCTATGAACACAAGCCTTGAACTGTTAGATGAAAAACGAGAGGCCGCCCCCACTAGAATGTCAGCACAAAAGTAGTGCATCGAAAGATACTACAACCGAAGAGCCAATCTTCGCCACTTTCGAATTGGAGACTTAGTTCTGAGAAAAGTCATCCTCAATACTAGAAACCCAAATGAAGGGAAACTCGACCCAAATTGTGAAGGGCCATATCAGGTCATCAGTGTCATCGGAAAGGGATCTTACAAACTTGGCACAATGGACGGTGAATAATTGCCAAATAATTGGAACATATCACTCCTCAAACTGTATTATTGCTAAGGTATGACTTTCTCCCTTTTCATTTGTATTTGATACTAACTTATTGCAGGTGTTTGATTGAAGACGTCGAGAAGTTCTTCAACATGAAGACCTTAGGTTTTAAAGCACGCGTTGCACTCTTTTCCCTTATATCGTTTTTTATCCTAAATGGATTTTTCCGGCGAGGTTTTTAAAAAGGCAACAATTATTTGTGCTACCTGGGGATAATTCAACAGTATCCGAGGCTTTTTTATAATCAACCTCGAATACTAGGGGCATCACCCTCGGATGTTATGTTCTCAATACTCCGTATCAACGAGTATCGATAGGTAAAATTTTGTAAAGGGCCAAACAGTCAAATAAACCGTGTCCTTGTAGATTAATCGAGCCCCGATGAATAGGTAAAGAAGTATTTTTTCCTTACCAGATGTTCCATGCCTTAGTGAAATTTCTACTTTATAGTTTCTACTTTACTTATGATCTACTGCGGAAACTGGCTCAAGTACCGATCGCAACTAAAACTCGGGCTACCAACCTCGTACTTGGGGACTGCTGTCCAAAAATCGACGTGTTCGAATTATTAAACTTTGAGACCATAAGACCTTGAAAAGGCAACCCTCGATTTCATAGGACACGACCATCCCACTCGGGAACTGGTACTTCGAACAAGTTCGAAGTATTATTGAGAAAACAAGCCCAAAGGGAAAATCTCAAATTAAAGGCTACAGCCAAACTAACACGGTTCGGAGACGTCCAAATTTCGTAATAAAACAGGCCTTCAATTATTTTCATAAAGATCGATTAAAAAAGGCTACCCTCAGCAAAATTACAAAGCGTTTCGACAACATTAACCCTCAAAAACCTTAAGGGGTACCAAATTGTTCGAACTCTCGAAAAAACTTATGCTGAGGCATAACAAAGTTTTTTGATAACTCTAACCCTCGAGAATCCTGATGGGTACAGACTTACCTCATGCTAAGGCATAATATATTCTTATATGGTTAATCTTTTTAAGCCGAAAAGGGAAGAAGCCACTCTTTTGAGGCCATATCGGCCCAATTCAAAGAGCCTAAGGGCCATTATATTTTTGGGTTCGAGGATCAACCCTCGCTCAACCGAAACCTAAGGATTTTTTCTACTCCGAGTTCGAGCAAGTACTCACTCGATTATAGAGAATATACTAGTCTGATTTCGATCAAATCGCTTAAGTTTCGGATTCACAGACAGATGAAAATAAAAAATTTCGCAAGACAACGAAGTGAGTCAAAATCCTCACAAAATGTAAAGTATATAAGGCGAAAAGCAAAACAGAGTCTTCACATAACAGAAATTGGAGACAAGTCGGAAAGAAAAGGGATCTTTCATATACGCAAAAGTATTTACAAAGACCACTCAGGGTATTACATAAAAAAATCCAAAAGAGAAAAAATTCTAAGTGCCTAATCTTCCTCGGGAGCCTCATCTCCATCCCCTCCACTTTAGGATCCACTCGAGCTCCTAGAAGCATCATCATCAGAGAGCAAAGCTTTGGCTTCGGCCTCTAGCACCTTGGCATTCTCGATATCGACAGTAAGGTCAAAGCCGCGAGCATGAATCTCCTCGAGAGTCTCTCTCCAAGACTGGCACTTGGCATGCTCAGCAACGCAGAATGATCGAACCGGAGCAGCATCGGAAATTTCCTTTGCTTGAGCATGAGCGGCTTCAGCATCAGCTCGGTAGACGGCCACGACCGCCTCCGCATCAACCTTTACTCTTTCTGCCTCAGATGTGGCTTTTGCAAGCACAGCGGCCAACCGAACCTCGAGCTCCTCAATTTTCTTGGCTCGGGCCAAGCTCTCCTCCTTCATGCTTTGGAGTTGACGTATGGCCGAAGATAGCTGGGATCGAGCAGTGTCTTACTCCGAGGCAAGGCGGTCCATGTTTTGCTTCCACCCCAAAGTCTATGCCTCCTTCATCTTGGCCTCCTCGCGAAGTTGCTCCATCCTTTCGGCCCTCTGTTGAACCTGCAATATTGAAGTGTTAGTCATCGTCTTCGGATTAATAAAATGAGCTTCCAAAAATTTACATTACCTGCTAAATCAGGTCGGTTTGCCCTTTGTGAGCTATTGCCTATTCAGCTCGGAGATCCTTGATCTCCTCTTCTTTTTGCCTAATAAGAAGTTTTAGGGCATCCCTCTCCTCCGTAAGACTTTTAAGGTCAGCCTCACACCGGTTCAGCTCTGCCCGGGATTTAGAAAATACTTCCCGACGAAGCGTCAAAGCCTATGAAGAAAGAAAAGAAAGTCAGACAAGAGGAAAACAAAGGCAAAAGTAATATAAATATAGGGAGATAAGGCTTACCTGACTCAAGAGTCGATGGGCCTCATCGAAGATGCTCGACACACCACCTAGATCGGAAGCATCTTTGACTCCCGTGAAGCAACCGTGGAAAAGGTCCTCCCCTTCTTGGGTCGTTCCCACATCGGGGGTCCCCATGGCTTGGGTTTCCTGAATTTGCCCCTCAGAAAATGAAGGGGGGGGGGGGCGATGAGTCGTCAACATTTATTGCCCCAAGCGGGTTACATAGGGCGTTCTCTTCGTTTTGAAGGGCCTCAGAACTGGCCCCTTCAGGTACGTCCACCGATCACCCATCACGGCGGGAGACATCTTCAGCCTCCGATGACTCGGGGACTTTGCTCGGGCCACCCTCCGAAACCCCTTTGGCCCGAAGCTGAACTTCTTCAACCATCACCGGCTCAGCGACCTTTGGGACGTCGGCGCTCCTCTTTCGAGCCACCAGCTCGTAGTCAGTATCTTCTTTTTCCTCTTCCTTATCTTAAAGCTTCTGAACTACATCCGTAGGCAGGGCGGCGATATGTTTCTTCGACCTATGAGTTGTGCTCTTCTTAGGCTTTGGGGTATCGAAGGGCGAAACCCTTTTCCTCTTCTTATCCTTGGCCGGTTTCGGGGCCCCCTTCTCTTCCCCAGGCAGAGGAGGCCTCATGATAGCTTTATCCCCGAGACCTATATGAAAGGAAACCAGGTAGAAATAAAAAAGGGATATTTCAGAGAAGAACGTCAAACACATAAAAAGAGACTTACCCTGATTTTTTGCCTCCTATCGGCCCTTTGCCAAATCACGCCACGACCCTCGACGTATGTAGAGGCTGATGCCAGTTTTCGAACCCAGCCCTCAAGGTTCGGAATTGTAACAGGCACCTAAGAGACCGCTGATTCATAAGAAAGAATGTTGATGAGAAAAGGTAAAGGAAGCAAAAAAATCAAAACAAGCTATTGGTAGGTTTGTACTTACGCTTCATGTTCCATTCCTTGGGGAATGGCTTCTTCTCGGCCGGGATTATGTCAGAAGTCCTCACTCGGAAAAATCGGCCCATCCATTCTCGATCTTTGTCCTCGTCTATGCTCGAGAACAGCACCTTTGTGGCTCGGCGCTGAAGCCTTATTGATCCGCCTCGATAGAGACGGGGGCTGTACAGTCTAATGAGATGGTCGAGGGTGAAAGACATCCCTTCGACCTTGATGACGAATAATCGGAGCAAAATAACGATGCGCCAAAAAGAGGGTTGGATTTGGCCTAGGGTTATGTGGTACTGCCGGCAGAAGTTGATTATAACGGGATCTACGGGACCCAGTGTGAAAGGGTAAGTATAAACACTTAATAACCCTTTCACGTAAGTGGTAATATCCTCCTCGAGGGTAGGAATCACCACCTCTTTATTTTCCCAATGTCAATCTTTTTCACCTGCTCAAGATCACCCTCGGTTATCAAGCATATGTATCTCGACATTGGCTTGCATCGGCTAGGGACCGAGGAAGGTTTCTCAACTTTGAAATCGGAAGTAAGATCGCACAGCCTGGGAACACACTCTTCGATGCGTAACTCCAACGGCGTTTTATCACCGTCCGGCCACGATAAAGAGGCTTTTTCCTTTAGAGGAACTGTTTTTGATGTTTTCGCCATTGTTAATGAGTTCAAAGAAAGAAGAAGATGAAACTTGTTGTTTCAGAAAATATTGACAAACGGTATTTGAAGAACCTGCAGAATTGATAAGCTTGAAGGGAGTAGAAGAGTTTTTGAAGATTAGGAGAAATTTTGAAAGTAAAGTTTGAGAAAATTATGAAGATAATCTATTTATAATATTTGCTATGACGGTTTGAAAACACTAGTGGCCGACCATCAACTGACGATCATTAATGATTTTAGGTACTGTGCAGACGCGACGCTTCAGTCGCTTCCGTCGCTTATGTCACGACGGTGACGTCATAATTGGTCGAGGTACAAGATCGAAGGCTCAGTTCGTTTCTTCTCATTACACTCCAAAAAAGGAGGGGACTATCTGTATACGGTTAAAATCAGGCTTGCCCGATTTTGCCATTAAATCGAGACCAGGGAATAACGTTGAAGGTTAGCCCCGTAATGGATCAGGCCAGAGCACGAAGACAAGGTATCGAGTCCGAGAATCGAAGTGCCCGCCGAGATCGAGGCCATCAGCAATCGAGACCTAATATGATCGACTTCGAGTGAAGCGCAATAACGGAAAGGCGGAATATCCGTAACCGGTCGGAGATCACGACAAAAATCCCGGAACAGATCAAATCAAGGGCGATTGTTTAGGATAATCATGGGATTTACTTCCGTAATTAGAATTGTATCATAACTAGGACTCCTCTGCTATATAAAGAGGGCCCTAATCATTTTGTAACCAACTTACATTCATACAGATGAAGGCAATATAATATTTCTCTCTTTCTCTGGTTATCAACTTATTGTTCTTTAATTTTTCTTACTTTACTAAGCTCGAAGGTTCATCATCTCGAGGGCACTGTTTAAGCATTGGTTTGTTTTACATTCTTGTCAATTCCCATCACTTATCTTTAAGTTAATCAATTGCTATTAGGTAAAATCACGTATCCTTAAAACCACATTATAAGTTTAATTGTTATCAAGTTTTTAGGGTAAACAATGGTATAAAACTAACTCACTCATAATTGTTTGACCAAAAAGTATGAAACTCTTTGTTAACTAATTAAGTAAAAGGATAAAGGATTAATCCTAGTCAAAGATAATATCCCTAGATCTAAAATTAGTTTATATGGATAATGTGGGACCACGTTGAAGTATATTTAATGCAATACATAATAAATGTTGTTGTTATTAATGTGATAAGAGCAAGTAATAAATAACAATAAATGGAACTAAATGTAAATAAGGAGGAAGATTCACCCAATAATGAAATAGGTGAATGATTCCGTCTCCTGACAATGATGAATGACAAGAATATGAGGGAATATTATACACTTTCTCGAATCAGGTGGAAATGACAATGGATTCAATATAAGGATCGAATCTCTCTCAGAAAGTTGTTCTTTGTATTTATCTAGAGAGCTTAATTTTCAAAAGTGTTCTTATCAAATGGAATATTACATGCCCTTTGCCTTATCCCTCCTACTATTTATATGGGATATTCCCGAAAAAACCCTAAAAGGTACAACAGAAGGAATACTTAATAGAATACTCCATTTGTAAGTTCCAAAGCTGTACTTGCCGTTACTTCTGTCCCTTGCTGCTCGACCCTAGCCCTGATGAGCCACTCAACGGCTTGTTCCGTTCACCACTGATTGACCTCGGCCGAACTACCCATGATAAGTTACAATTCTCACGATAATCACCTCCTCGTGCTGAATTTCCTCGGTCGGATTTTGGCCCATACAGTTAGTCACTCCGCTTATCGAGGTCGTCTTTTGGTCGACCTCAATGAACGGACTTTGTTAGTCACATTTTGAGAGATTCTGATGGGAAGGTCGAGTAGTGAGAATCGCGGCCGAGATGATGATGTGGAGTTTTGAGAGCCACACTTAATGACGTCGGTTCAGAAGTGACGTCACAACCCCGTGCGTCATCATTACGCATCTTCCCGATGCGTTGCATCATTTCCTGTGTCCCTATCGTTTCGATCCCAGTGCATTTGACGGTTATTTTTCTCGATCCGTGTGCCGATGTTCTGTATATATAAAGGAGGGAAACCCTTTGAATGAAACTTTACACTTCCTAATCTTTTGAACTTGCATATCTTCTCTCTTCTTCTTCTCTCTGTATTCCTATTTTCAGCAACTTTTGCCACTATCACATCCGCACTTTCAATTCCTTCACACATATATAACAAAATATGGCTAGTGCATCTTCCAACCCTGAGGGGACCTCTGACCCAGTTCCGTTGTCAATGGTCATGCCCTCTCATGATGAAGGGGAAGCCATAGTTATAGAGGATGAAAGCTTCCCTACTGTGGAGGCAATCATTCCTCGTAATTCAGGCTCCAGGTCGTACTTCTTGAAGTCACCTGCGGACGAACTCGAGCCTATGAAATCCGACATGGAAGCAACCCATCTTGTCGTGCTTAGGACCAAGTACAACATTCCCACTCACATCGATTTGGTCCCAGCTGGGAACGGCGTGATCCAGATTCATTGTCCTGGGTATTACGCATTTTACGCGTACCCGTTCCAAGTGGGCTATTCTCTCCCTCTTCCCCCGTTAGCAGAGGAATTCTGCCGCTATTACGGCATCTATCCGGCCCAGCTGTCCCTCTATTTACAAACTCTTTCTTATGTTGATAAAGTACGCGGAGCTGGCCGGCCGTGGGATTGATCATTCTTTTTTCTTTTTGTGTAGCCGAGAAGGATCCTCCTACGTTGGTCGCTGATATTCGCGACTGGGTAGCTTAAATTTTGCCATATACAGTGGGAATCTGTGAATGGTCGTCGTTCAACAAGAAGTTTGGACGTAAACCTTCTGCGACTTGAGTCAAGTTTCGATCTTCAGTCACTTCGACCTTAATACCGCCTTCA